TCAGCCCAGAGTAAGTAAACAATCATTGTTTATTGTATAAGGGTGCATCAAATCAGCCCACAGTAAGTAAACAATCGTTATTTATTGTATAAGGGTGCATCATATCAGCCCAGAGTAAGTAAACAATTGTTGTTTATTGTATAAAGGTGCATCAAATCAGTCCAGAGTAAGTAAATAATCGTTCACTGTTGTCTTCAGTTTTAATTCAATTACTGTATTAACAGTAAGTTTTTGATATATTGAGAAATGTTCTAAGTAGTTTATGTATCTATAAGTTATACTCATCAATATTATTATATTATGATTGATTACATTTAAGACATAGTGATCTATACATAATACTATTATTAATAAGTTACTTAAATAATAGTATTTCATAAATAAAAATATCTTTTCTGCTATTTGATAATGAATTAACAAGGTTGAGGACATTTTTATGCAGGTTACACAATGTTAGAAGTAATCAAATAAATAAATGTAGTGTTGTAAAATCTGAAAATACAGAAGCATTTTTAAAATTGCTGTAGACAAAAGAAAAAAAGCTATAAATGTTTCAACCGTGGATGTGGTGCTAAAGAAGATATAAATGTTTCAACCGTGGATGTAATGCTAAAAAAGCTATAAATGTTTCAACCGTGGATGTAATGATAAAAAAGATATAAATGTTTCAACCATGGATGTGATGGTAAAAAAGCTATAAATGTTTCAACCATGGATGTGATGCTAAAAAAGACTATAAATGTTTCAACCATGGATGTGATGCTAAAAAAGCTATAAATGTTTCAACCATGGATGTGATGCTAAAAACGCTATAAATGTTTCAACCATGGATGTGATGCTAAAAACGCTATAAATGTTTCAACCGTGGATGTGATGTTGAAAACTTGATTTGTGTTTCTTTCTATGAGTTTTAATTTACATTTTCAAAGGTAGAAGGCTGATTAGTAGGTTAGATGTGGTATAAACTATGGGTTGCTGTATGATTAGGCCCACCAATTTCTTATTTATTCGTGTATTATGTTGACTTGTTATTACTGAACTTGCACGACATTTCTCCTTCTTTAAATACTAAAAGTGTTGGGAATGTGGATGTTATTGATGTCGATTGAACATGTTTATTGACATACTTCCAACGTAATTATTAGTGCCAATCATTAAATTATTGTTGAGTGTTCTGTTTACATACATCACGCAAATAATTGTTGAAACCCGATAACAAAAGATAAAATGTTTGTATGCCTTCATTGATTCTTTTAAACACAACATTATAATTACAGCAGCTGGTCACTTTCGTTACAAATGTAGGTTACTCCAGTTTAAGTGCAGGTAACATACATCTATGTCTGGTTTAGATAATGTAAGTTACTCCAGTTTAAGTGTAGGTAACATGCATCTATGTCTGGTTTAAATAATGTAGGTTACTCCAGTTTAAGTGCAGGTAACATACATCTATGTCTGGTTTAAATAATGTAGGTTACTCCAGTTTAAGTGTAGGTAACATACATCTATGTCTGGTTTAGATAATTTAGGTTACTCCAGTTTAAGTGTAGGTAACATACATCTATGTGTGGTTTAAATAGTGTAGGTTACTCCAGTTTAAGTGCAGGTAACATACATCTATGTCTGGTTTAAATAATGTAAGTTACTCCAGTCTAAGTATAGGTAACATGCATCTATGTGTGGTTTAAATAATGTAAGTTACTCCAGTCTAAGTGTAGGTAACATGCATTTATGTGTGGTTGTTTAAATAGTGTAGGTTACTCCAGTCTAAGTATAGGTAACATGCATCTATGTGTGGTTTAAATAACGTAGGTTACTCCAGTTTAAGTATAGGTAACATGCATCTCTGTGTGGTTTAAATAATGTAAGTTACTCCAGTCTAAGTATAGGTAACATGCATCTATGTGTGGTTTAAATAATGTAAGTTACTCCAGTCTAAGTATAGGTAACATGCATCTATGTGTGGTTTAAATAATGTAAGTTACTCCAGTCTAAGTATAGGTAACATGCATCTATGTCTGGTTTAAATAATGTAGGTTACTCCAGTCTAAGTATAGGTAACATGCATCTATGTGTGGTTTAGATAATGTAGGTTACTCCAGTTTAAGTATAGGTAACATACATGTATGTGTGGTTTAAATAATGTAGGTTACTCCAGTCTAAGTATAGGTAACATGCATCTATGTCTGGTTTAAATAGTGTAGGTTACTCCAGTCTAAGTATAGGTAACATGCATCTATGTCTGGTTTAGATAATGTAGGTTACTCCAGTTTAAGTGTAGGTAACATACATCTATGTGTGGTTTAGATAATGTAGGTTACTCCAGTTTAAGTGTAGGTAACATACATCTATGTGTGGTTTAGATAATGTAGGTTACTCCAGTTTAAGTGCAGGTAACATATATCTATGTCTGGTTTAGATAATGTAGGTTACTCCAGTCTAAGTACAGGTAACATACATCTATGTCTGGTTTAGATAATGTAGGTTACTCCAGTTTAAGTATAGGCAACATACATCTATGTCTGGTTTAGATAGTGTAGGTTACTCCAGTTTAAGTGCAGGTAACATACATCTATGTCTGGTTTAGATAATGTAGGTTACTCCAGTTTAAGTATAGGCAACATACATCTATATCTGGTTTAGATAGTGTAGGTTACTCCAGTTTAAGTGCAGGTAACATACATCTTTGTCTGGTTTAGATAATGTAGGTTACTCCAGTCTAAGTATAGGTAACATACATCTATGTCTGGTTTAAATAATGTAAGTTACTCCAGTTTAAGTGCAGGTAACATACATCTATGTCTGGTTTAAATAATGTAAGTTACTCCAGTCTAAGTACAGGTAACATGCATCTATGTCTGGTTTAAATAATGTAGGTTACTCCAGTTTAAGTATAGGTAACATACATCTATGTGTGGTTTAAATAGTGTAGGTTACTCCAGTCTAAGTATAGGTAACATGCATCTATGTGTGGTTTAGATAATGTAGGTTACTCCAGTCTAAGTACAGGTAACATGCATCTATGTCACTGGAGTAACCTACATTATCTAAACCATTAAGTGTAGGTAACATACATCTATGTGTGGTTTAGATAATGTAGGTTACTCCAGTCTAAGTATAGGTAACATACATCTATGTCTGGTTTAGATAATGTAGGTTACTCCAGTCTAAGTGTAGGTAACATGCATCTATGTGTGGTTTAAATAGTGTAGGTTACTACAATCTAAGTATAGGTAACATATTTATGTCTGGTTTAAATAGTGTAGGTTACTTCAGTCTAAGTATAGGTAACTTACATATATGTCTGGTTTAAATAGTGTAGGTTACTTCAGTCTAAGTATAGGTAACATACATATATGTCTGGTTTAAATAATGTAACTTATATTGCATAGCTACAACATGGCTGGAGGGTTTTTACTAAAATGAAATAATTTAAGTTTTAAAAATTATTAGGAGCATTGATATGCCCTTTGTTCATCCATTTTTGATTTAGGTATTATTGACGAGTTTTATGTTCATACATTATCTCTTGTATTAATAGAGGCAATGAATGAAAGAACCTTGTTGACCTTCTTTAGAGGTTGTTATTTTACTGGAGACAATGATGGGTTCCTTGTTTGAACTTTTAGTTTTGGTATTATTAAGGGTATTTACAGACTTTTTGATCTGATATGGTTGTCAAATTGTGACTTGAATATTGATAATAATAACTGTTAGGAATGTTGATATAGATAAGTTCATAGGCAGATTTATTTCTCCAAGTTGTCACCTTGTTAAATAGTCTTGAATACTACAATGATTAGATTAATTAACATTTTTTCTACATTTTGGTTGGATATGATATGAATATGAAAGATTACTGGTAGATATTTGTTGTTTGGTAACTAGGGATTACATCAATGGGTCAAAAGTTTATATATAATTAGAGATGTTTAGTGGTCTTATGTATGAATTTCTATACTTTCAGCCAGAAATAAGTGACAAGGACTTGCCTGATCCTATTATCAATGAAGATTTTATGACAGAGTTGAATACAACACACATCTCTTTCACTACAGATGGACAAGATAGACTCTTCAGAGCCCATGGTATTTTTAACTTTTAGAAACTATTATAGCATATTTAGTTTTTTTAAATATCAAGTAGATTACTTTGTAACAAACTTGAGAGGCCATAACCTGGTAAATTGAAAGAAAAAAAAATTAAAAAAATAGGAATATACTACTTATTTTTGAAAGTAATACTGAGTAATTTAACTTTAAAATTGCAGGTGGCGCTCTTGAAAATCACATTGGCAATTTAAATTATTTTTTTTTAATATTTCTGTCCATAACTTTGTTGATTACATCATCATCAAAAACATACAAATCACACAAAAATACATTTAAGCAAAAATACTTTCAATATTGAATTAATTCTACTACTAATACACTGCTATTGTATCCTATGTATTTTAAGCTGTTTTGTGTACTAGGCTTAGCTTGTGAACCGTGAATCTATAAGTCCATGGCTGATGTCCTACTGCCTCAAAAATGTATCCAAAATTCCACTATTATATTAGAGTAGTGGTGGATGCCTTTGATTAACTGCCTTCCTACTTGTCTGCTCATTCAAAATTGGGGATGGCTAGTGCATACATCCCTTTGTTTGACTTTTTTAAATAAAACAAACAATTATCAGTAGTGTCAAGAACAGATTATATGCCAGATTTTTTTCTAGTTTGATCAATCTTAGTTAGTTTGACACAGCTGCCTAATCTTTAATATTTATATTCTTCATTCTGTATCCTGTAGCTAACAAAGATTGTATCATATTTTGGTCAATTATAATTACTACATCAGCTAAAAGTTTCTAATGAATCACAGACAATTTAAATGATTTTTAAAGCATCTGAATCTTCTAACTCTGCATAACAATCCTGATTTTAAAGGTTTTCGTAGAAAAAAGTTCATCTGACCTTAAAATGTTTATATATATTCTTTGGTATATTTAGTTTTGACGTGATAAGTAATTTTGGCATTTATTTAAAAAACGCTAATTGATTTAATGCAGTCTTTATGTATATTTTTTTCTTTTGTTCCTGAAGTCTTTTTGTTATCAGTTAGTGTTGTCTTATGGAAAATTTAAAAGTCCAATTTATTAAGTGTGTATCTAACTCTTATTACTGTGTATCTACTCTTTTATCACTCGGGGCTTGTTTCTTTCTTTAGGACACACCATGACGTGATAAGTAATTTTGGCATTTATTTAAAAAACGCTAATTAATTTAATGCAGTCTTTATGTATATTTTTTTTCTTTTGTTCCTGAAGTCTTTTTGTTATCAGTTAGTGTTGTCTTATGGAAAATTTATTAAGTGTGTATCTAACTCTTATTACTGTGTATCTACTCTTTTATCATTCGGGGCTTATTTCTTTCTTTAGGACACACTATGAAAGAAATATTTATTCTGAGAGAAAGCAGATTTGATAGAATTCCAGACTTGGTGGTTTGGCCAGGTACGTAATTAGATATTGATATTTAATACTTTACATTCATTAGCATTGGTTACATGACCTGGTGGTTTGGCCAGGTACGTAATTAGATATTGATATTTAATACTTTACATTCATTAGCATTGGTTACATGACCTGGTGGTTTGGCCAGGTACGTAATTAGATATTGATATTTAATACTTTACATTCATTAGCATTGGTTACATAAATTAAAATCCTTTCAGAACAGTAGTCACTAAAAAAATTTGTCCAGTTGATTTAGTTTAAGCTTAGAAGTTCATGATTTGTTGAGGACAATTAAAATAAGTGTAAAATTACTAAATTAATTCTTTTGGTCATTTGAAAATAGTAAAATAATTAATGGTTGAAAAAGAATTATATAGAAAAATAAATGTATGAGAAAAGTCCAAGTTTTTTTAAATGTTAAAATAACCTATCTTTCGAAAATTTGAATGAGTTACCATTTGTGTATTGGCACGTTGAAAAGTTGATTAGTGTGTGTGCATAGTTTTTGTTTGATATTGATATAAAAGGGGGATATATAGCTTTATTTGTAGTTTTTATGATATGACTGATATTGTATACTTTGAAGAAAAAAAAAACTCCCATAAAATTTTCATGGTTCAAGTTTTCTGTGGATGTTTCCAAAACTGAATAAGTTAGCTGGGTTTTGTTGTACAATAACTTCTTGGAATTTCAAAAAGATCTTTCGTATTTTGGGGATATTTATATCAAAATAAAAAAAAAAGTGTTCCTGAAAACTTGGCTATCAGTTAGTTACCCAAGTACAGGTGCAATTTTTACTTCACTGTGCTCTCTATCTATATATCTTGACTCTATGTCTTTCTTTTCTTATTTTTACATCAATTTCAGACCTTTAGAGCATTACTTACTTATCTAATTACTTTGGTTTTAATAAAATTCATCTAAAGTTAAATCTGAGTGTAGCCCATTGGTTGGTGGGGGGGTTAACCCTATGAGAACAAAGTTGTTTTTGAAATCTTTACTCAGTCGGTGAAAGATGATTTCCCTGTTTTTGAAATCTTTACTCAGTCGGTGAAAGACGATTTTCCTGTTTTTGAAATCTTTACTCAGTCGGTGAAAGATGATTTTCCTGTTTTTGAAATCTTTACTCAGTCGGTGAAAGATGATTTTCCTGTGTTTGAAATCTTTACTCAGTCGGTGAAAGATGATTTTCCTGTGTGTTTGTAATGTTTACTCAGTCAGTGAAAGATGATTTTCCTGTGTTTGAAATCTTTACTCAGTCGATGAAATATGATTTTCCTGTGTTTGAAATCTTTACTCAGTCGGTGAAAGATGATTTTCCTGTTTTTGAAATCTATACTCAGTCGGTCTAAGTGAAAGATGATTTTCCCGTGTTTGAAATCTTTACTCAGTCGATGAAAGATGATTTCCTGTGTTTGAAATCTTTACTCAGTCGATGAAAGATGATTTTCCTGTTTTTGAAATCTTTACTCAGTCGATGAAAGATGATTTTCCTGTTTTTGAAATCTTTACTCAGTCGAT